ATATGAAGGCACTTATTACACACTTGGATTTGCAATGCGTATCGCATACGTGCACGTTTGGCGGGCCGTTAGAGCGAAGTGGTTGCGCGGCGGCGTCACGGCGAGGCGAGACGCGACGCGGCGCGGCGCGCGACGAGCCGAGCCGAAGACGACCGAGCGCTGCCGAAGCGACGAACCCTCTGTCCTCGCGTCGTAGTGTCGCCCCACCACATCCAGTCGTACCGCGAATGTTACACTGTGCGCTTCGTATGCGCGCTTCCCCGTGCTTTTCTCCCTCGTAACGGCGACGTGCTGCGAGGTCCGAGAACTCCGCGAAAAGCGAGCGTTTCCTTCCGCTTCACGCGACGTTCGCCGACATCTCGTCCTGCCTCTCCTTTCTATCTCTTTCTCGTCTTTTTATCACTACCGTAAATCTTGTTCTTTCGTTGACCAGCGGCGACGATCGCCGCGAAGTTTGCCGCCGTCGGCAGACGGTGCGTTCTCGTCCGTTCGACCGTCCCGTTCGCGTCGGCGAAGGAAAGAGGAAGGCGACAGGAAGTCGTAAGGGTTAAAGGGAGAAAACGGAGCAACGACACGGAGACGACGATCGACGCTGTCGCCGCCCTCGCTGTTATCGTTCGATGTGTGAAAAGTGTGCGAGTCCGCGAGAACGCGACGCCGAAAGTATCGATAGCGTAACGTGTTGAACGTTGCCGCGGAAGGAACGCGCGGCAGTTTCATTCCGAACGGGGTAACGCGAGAACGCTCGCGCGTGTCCCGATCGTCGTCGTTCGCACATACCGCGTTACAATTGAGATCGCGGCATTGAAATCGGAAGTAATCGTGCACGCGGAGTGGTGAGAGTCGATCGCAGAAATCAAGGGTCAAAATTAAACGTTATTGAAGCGAGATCGAGCGCGCGATAACGAGGCGGGGCGAAGATGCATTCCAGATGGACGATGACGCCGCGACGTCTGTAACGGTCGCCGCCGTCGGTTGGGTAAGAACGTCTCGCCGTATTTACTATTTATCGTCCCTCCACGCGAAAGTCCGCCGCCGCGATCCGCGCGCGACGGTGTATCGACGTGAATCGCGCGGGTTATGACGCGCCGCGACGCTTAGGGACGCTCGACAAGCGCTCGTAACCGGAGCCCCGGGTAGCCGCGAGTGCGTGCGTGCGTGCGTGCGTGCGTGCGCGACGACAGCGACAGAGATGGAGAACGACCCGGCGGCCAAGTCCTGGCCGTCGGGCCCGGGGACGGGCAAGGGATCATCGCCGTCCTGCCTGGAGGCGTCGATGCCGCGGAAGTTCCGCGACGGGGACCTCCGTGCGGGGACCGCGGGCCTCAATTGGGCGCTGTGCGCCCTCTGCCTCGCCAGCTTCGCCGTGTCCGGCGTGCTCTTCTATCGCGAGCTCGGCCTCGAGTCCAGGATCGCGAGTCTAGAAGCACGCTGTATGCGCGTCCAGGAACCCTCGTCGCCGGTGGAAGCCCTGGTGCAGAGGCTTAAGGCGGAGATGCAGGAGCAACTGCGGCAGACGCAACGGCTCGATTCCACCGCGGTCTTCAGGCCCAAACGCGACATCTCCGAGTGTAATTGTCCCCCAGGTAAGTCAATCTTATTTTTAACAAAATTGCTCGTCTCTCCGCATTGGTGTTTTACTGACTGCGCGGCTTTAATGTGTTTTATTACAACGTTTGCATCTCATGAAATATTGTTTAATTGTTGATGATAATTGGCGTAATTATGGATGCTTTTACGCCGAATCTCAATATTGTGAATTATTGCTGCGTAATCACTCGGAGAAAAAGGCATAGTGATGATAAAAATCATAGGGTAAGGTGGTACAATTTCGAATATTGTACAATTCTGAACGAAATAAGATTTAAATTCAATTTTCGAAGTTTGGTTTATGGAATATTTGGAATGAATATTTGGAATTTAAATTGGTTTTTTTGTTTGGTGGGAGATTCCCTTTAGTATATTCTTCACATAATGGAAATCAAGGTTACCAAACTTTAACCTCAAATTTGGATTCAAATATTTCGTTCAGAATTGTGTGTGTATCATGTTCGAAATTATCTATATTACCCTAAAGTGACAACTGTATAAGTTTTATATGTAGAATTAATATACACACATAGTTGAATAAACTGTTGTATTCCAACTATAAAATAGTTTATTCGACTATATCATATATGTATATTAATTCTTAATATACATGATTGAATCATTTGTATCCTATGCATTTCTTTTCTTTGAAATACTGGATGCACCAAGTAATTAGGTATAACATTTAAAAACATAAAAAAATAGTTTATAAATTTTAAACTAATTTATAAGTAATTACAATTTACAATTATTTATAATTAATTTTTAAATGATTTATGAGTTAATTTAAATATTTGTAAAATATTTTAAAGATATTAAAATACATGTCAGAATCACTTAATAATTTTTGTATATTTGTGAAAGTGATAAAAATCAATGTGTGTTAAGTTGTCACATTTATACATTTTGCTATCACTGTTTTTTTCTATAAGTGAATAATTACATAATTAGCAAAGTTATGGATGGTTTCATGAGAATATTGTTTCAGTGCTGCGTAATATAATATAAAAATCATTGGCAGTTATGATATATTAACATACGAGGATATGAGAAATGGATACACTTAATATTTTACACACATCTTTGTAGATTTGTTTTGTTTTTTAAAAATAATTACAAATCATATTTCTTTCAATTGCCACAATATGAATTACACATTGTGAATATGTAACTTGAAAATTGTAGGCTATTTTCTAATAAAATTAATTAACGGTGTCTAAAATTTCATGTATTATTCGATTAAAAATAAAAGATAATTAATTTTAACATACGTATTTATTAGAAATGTGGAATTTTTAAATAGTGCTATTTTTCACGAAAATTCGATATGCCGAGCGATATGCGATCCGAACTCAAAATATCGCAATAAATTATCGTGATTTCTTCATTCAATAACACATGAAAACGTTTGATATTACGTGAATTGACATGTCAGTAAAGTGCTAATCGAAGGATTTACAGCAACTTCTAATTGCGAAAGTAATCCACAAAACAAACTCCGTATTTGTTTCCGGCGAATCCAATTACGTTGGAAAGAATTCTTGTTTCCAACGTATCGCAAATCTTACAAATGTTTGTGTAAAGAAAGTAGAGTGAAGAATTTTTGCAATCATTATAAATCGGTTTTCTAGCAAACCTTTTAAAAAAGGTATCTCGTGTAAGCTCTCGGTTCATTGAAGAGAGCGAAGAAAAGCGTAATCAGGACTTGTAAATGTTACGCTTTCTTCAGTCACACGATACTATACCCGATATCTTCATTATACTAACAAAAATGCAACCGAACTTTTTTACGGTTACCCCGGATCTATAATAGGCTTTTAAGCCTTAAGCCATAAGAAATGGGCGAATCACAGTCAATTATTCCCCTCGGATTCGACTGTAATTGGTCAATTTCTTACGGCTCAAGTCTTAAAACACCTATTGTAGATCCGGACTTAACGAATTAAGATTTACGAGACTCTTCGGATTAGCTACGCTTGCATCCTCTTATCTTCTTTGACTGCAACGAGGAAAAAGTTTTAAAGAGTCAGGAAATTACATATTGCATATTCTAAATCAAGTTGGAATACGGAAAGGGTACTTTGTTATCAAATTGCGCTGCGAACATTGAAATTAGCCGACTGTAAAAAAAAAATACTCCGACCTCTTGATATTGTATATCGTGCATTTACATTTTTATTACTACGGTAGACCTGTAATTCTATTTTGCCCACTCGACATCGCGTCTGATATCGTTTTGTGAAAAGCGCGTTGCGCTGCTTTTCTATCATTTCTTCTGTTTGAAACTCTATTCTAACCAAACGATTCTCTCTACAAACACCCGCTTTACGCTCCGCGGCTTGCTTGCCGCGACTTCACTCCCGACTCTTATTCATGACAAAAACAAAGTAGCAAAAGGGCAAAACGCAAAAGCTGCAACGTTGGAAGAACTCGCGAACGGAGTCACCTCGCGACCTACGAAACGTGCGAACGTAATAATAAAAATGAAGAAGAAAATTCACGAAAAATATCACGGCGGTTTCTGTCGTTTCTGGATCTCGTCTCAAACAGCATAGACCTTCAAGAGACGTCCTAAGAACGTTCGGATGTTCTACGTTCTCAGAACGTTCCTACACTGGAAAATGAGTATCTAGTTGCAAATTGAATTAATTACAATTTTGCTTGAAAATGGACAAATTAGAATTCTCTAGTTGAATCTATTATAATTCTAGTTGAGATAACCAGAATTCTGATTGATATCATCAGACTCTTCTGGTTCGTTCGTTTTCGACCAAAAAGGAGAATACTTTCGCCTTTTCGCTTTTATGAAATCTGAAATTATAATAATGGCATTTAAGAAAAAATTGGTACATTGAAATAAAGAATAAAATCCTTACTCACATCGTTACGAAATCACTGTCAGTTATATGCTTCAATTATTTGAAAACTAATTCAGAGTTGGATTAACAATTGAATGATTGAAGCATAACTGACATAGGTTAGACATTAAAGGAACAATGGTAATCGAATCTGTTGAATTAAATAATTTTTTGTTATTTTTAACTTTCATCTGTTTCAAAATGTAAATCAAGCCATTTCTGTGGTTAGTTTCAAAGTAAACATATTATGCACTTAGTAAATAAACTAAATTAAGTCAAATTTAATATATTTTTTTGAGTTAAATTATTTAACTTCATTGTTTTAAATTAACGACATATTAAGTAGGAGCTGTGGCGACCTATAAATATTAAAAACTCAAATTAGTTATAATTTAATATTATGAATTTAACAGTGTAACTGACAGTAATTTCGTAACGATAAGAATTTTTAAAACTTTATTTCAATTTTTCCTTGAGTGTAGCGTCATTATAATGATAATTTTCGGTTTTCACAAAGAAAGATACATAAGAAAATGTACCAATGAAACGAATGGTCGCAAAAAAGTTGTCCTCCCTCCTTTTCTCAGAGCCGGACATTCCCAAAATGTGCTGTGTGGGATATGACGATTTCAGATTAAGCATTTGTGTCATTCCAGTCGAATGTCGAGCAAATGTCATCGTGAATGTCACTTTGAAAAGAGTACGAAGGCGTTCCTTCCCGTGTTCTTGTCTCACTCGTCGACATTCCATCCGCACGAGCCAAATGATCATGACTGTACATGATCGTCGATCGTCGTTAATCGGCCAATAAATAGAAGAAAGGAAGAAAGAGATTGTTCGCATGTTGACTCGGTGAAATCGAGGCTTTGTCCGCGGGGCTCCTTCCTGTCATTAAGACAGATGCGCGATTGCTTCATTGCAGCTTTCATCAAGTCGCACTCGTCGAGGCTCCGACAATAACTGCTACGATAATCGTGCAGTGTACCCGTGCCATGAGATCTGTTCTTTTTGACTGAACTCTTGCACCAGTTCATCTTTCTTCTTTTTCTTTTCTCCTGAAGAGACAAGGAAGAAAGATGAACTGGTGCAAAAGTTCAGCCAAAAAGAACAGGCCTATGATAACTCCACATATGCATCATCGGTTAAACGTGAGATATCGACGATACCGTTAGGGAGGGGCGATGTAAAAAAAGTACTGCAAATATCTACGTATTTATTTATTTTGTTTTATACTCTCCGACTATTTATTTCATTATACAATAAATACTTGCGTTTCAGAGCAAACTGCGTGTTTATATATATGCGTTAGGAGTATTTTATGATAACGAATCAATGCGTGTATGTATAAATATTGATATAAAAATATATTTCACATACAAAAATATTTTTATATTAAGTAGAACAGAGCAGATTTTTATCAATATTACTTTATGATTTTCGCGAGAACGCGAAATATCGTTTAACTGGTGAACGGTATACTGTGAAATTTTACGCAGAGAAGAAAACCTCCTTCTCTCATTCGAGCGGGGCTGTTTTGCAACGAGAAAGCAGCTTCTAGGAACGAAGGAAAATCCTTGTGTTTTAGAACCGAAACTTGCAACCGCCGTGAAACCATCGAATTCGCGGGAAGGTGAATTTACGACCAATAAATGCAACTTCAGCTTCCTTCGCGGCTTGCGGCAAATTTATGTAGAGCAAATGATGTAGCTACGAGCATCATTAAGAGTCACTTTACGATAGCGATGCTATCGTAGAATTTATTCTCTCTCTCTCTCTCTCTCTCCGCAAAATTGTCGATTTTTAAAGCGTAAACTGCAAGAATATCGACCATCTTTTCCTTCCCCGGTCCTTTTGCACAACCGCGTACGAAAAAGCATCCACGGAGTAGGTAGCTCGCTAATTGCAATAATTACTCCATTGTCGGACGCCGCTCTCCGAGTCCAAGGTAGGAACTATTTTCCGGCGAAGTACGGCTGGGACGGAAACGGAAGCGCGTATACGGCGAGAGGGAGGAGGAGTAGAACTGCCGGCCGGATTAATTCAGCGCTCCGTTTCTGCTCGCAGTCCACTCGCCGCTATCTCGTGTCTGATTCTTCTCTTCTTTATTTTTCTCCATTTTTTTTTCCTTGTTCCGACGG